ATTCCCAGGTTAGTAACTACGGTATACCGCAGACTCATCAATATTTTCATCACTTACTAGAGAAAAAGATGAAATGGAAATGAAGAAATCAAGAAATAAAACTACTAATTTTCAGAGAAAACTTTAGAACACATGGCACAGATGTGAAACTAAAAGAATCCAAGCAGACACGGTGGTCATTAAAAAAAAAAAACGAATAAATAATAACTCTAGCTTTTGACAGTTCCACCTTTTGTTAAGGTAACTAAAATACTGTAGAATGTTCTATTGCTTTCTAGTTTGAAATGAACTTACAGCACTAGCAAAGCCAACAGAGTAGTTTGTGTGTAGTGCCATATTTTTATTTTTTTTTAAAAAAAGCTTAGTGTTTTCTCTTTACTTCATACGAAATACAAGGATAGCCAGGCACAGTAGCTCATGCCTGTAATGTCAACACTTTAAGAGGCTGAGACAGGAGGGTTGCTTGAGCCCAGGAGTTCAACACCAGCCTGGGGAACATGCTGAGACTCTGTCTCTATAAAAAATAAAAAATTAGCTGGGCATGGCGGTGCACACCTGTAGTTCTAGCTACTCAGGAGGCTGAGGCAGAAGGATTGCATTAGCCCAGGAGGTTGAGTTTGCAGAGAGCTATCATCACACCACTGCACTCCAGCCTGGGTAACAGAGTGAGACCCCATCTCAAAAAAAAAAAAAAAAGAACAGAAAAGAAAAAGAAAAAAGAAATACAATGATATCTTCCTGTTTTTCCAATAAGGATATTTTACTCTTCTGGACTAACAATTCCACAATCTCATAAAAGGAAACAAATTACCCATGCCTTTATTATCTTTCTAAATAGTGTCTTGTCATTTTATTAACAAGAACTCCCTCATATTTGATGCTACCATACTTCTGAATTAAAATTCTTTATGCTTGTGTTAATGATTTGTTACTCTAAGATCCTGACAGCTTTTGAATTAAAAAGAATGACTAAAAAAGATTCAATGTTGCCTTAGATTCATAACTCTGAAAATCAGTAGTTCATCCATATAGAGAAAGCTATCTAGTAACCAGAATGTTTCTGTAACATCAACACTCAACAGCTGGCACGTACTAAGTGTTCAACAAATGTAAGGTACCATTATCATTATTCACAACCATGTCAGAAAATAATGTTATTCCAAATTATTGGCTAGTACTGGCTCTTATAGCAACTAAAAGGCACTACATATGAAAGTGCAGCCTATCACCTAATAGATTAATATTCTGAGTTCTTTCACAAGTAAACCATAAATCATTAAACTGCCTGACCATCATTTTGACATCCACGTCTTTCCATGTGTTCAGTTAGGTTCAAATTGAGTCACCCTGCCCAATTGCCTTCCATCGCCAGCTCCCCTTTAAACATTTTCTTTATAATCGTGGATACTGTGGCAGCTACTAGGAAGTAACCCAAGCTAGCTGGTGTATACAGCTGTCCAATCCTTGAGGCGGGCTCAACTAGCATGGTAGTTTAGCAAACTGATGGTGCAAGAAGCCAGTGTGGCCCTCGTCCGCAGAGACAGCCAAGGGGTGGGGTCCCACCACATCACAGGAATCATTCTCTCCCAGGCTTCACTGGAAAGCTCACTGGGCTAGGAATTAGGGTACTCCCGGATTCTAATCCCAGGTTGGTTTGTTGGTTTGTTTGTTTTAATAACATACTAGATCCAAGTTACGGCAATACCTCCTACCCCTGATCTTCTAGAAAGGTGAAATCTGAGGTACTTTCTAGATTTAAAATTCTTTGAGCATTTCCTTAAACCAGATCGTATAATTAAGTTTATGTTTTTTTTTTAAGAGCCTTTTGACTGACTGAAGGAAAATGAATTGAACTTGAATAGTGACTGTAAAACAGGAAGAATTTCTCTTATTTTACAGCAGATATCAAATAGATGGGAAGTCAAGGTCAATTTTATCTTTTGAGAGGTGGGTTGCAGGAGATCACAAATTGAGTGGGGCATTACAAAGTGCAATGTCATACTACAGATTAAGTCTCTAAGTCAGGGCTGTCTAGGTTCTGACATGGCTTTTAGAAATAACATTTTCAAAACAAATAATTATGAAGTGATTAATGTGGCCAAGATCACTTCACCAATATGGATACTGTTGTTTCCTATTGCCTGAATCCTGAATCTTGTTTCCTATTGCCTCAATCCCCCACCCTCAATCCTGAATCTTGACAAATTAGGATAAATACACTGTATGGCCTCCCAGTCATTTATGATTGATTGGCTTCAGGACTTTAAGTCGTCTTGCTAATCCTGACTGATTTATAGCCAACACCTGAATAAGTGAACGCACATACTCAAACAAATTAGCCCATCACCTACATGGCTATCTCTAGGACAAAAAACAAAAGCAAAAGATTATTCCATTTACTATGATATCTTTACATATTTGTAAAGAAACAGAGCCAGAACACAGGGTGAAAACCTCCCAAAGAGGAAGAAAGCATAAGGGGGAAAATCTCCTTATGCAAATCCTAAAGAGATTTATAAAACTACAATCTGAGAATTTTATTATTATGCTAAGCCTGTTAGTATAGAAATATCCAAAACTCTCCAACTGGGCAGCTAATTGAGACTTAAAAAGCACCAAGAAGACTTCATTGCTTCCCTCATTCATCACAGGCAATATAGAATCACTTGCTCAATATGATAATGTGACTTTTGTCAATGCATGTTCAAATCAGATCAAGGATTGGCTGGTGATGATGTCATATCCAAGGGTTAATCCCCTGTGAATGCAATTTTAATATCACATGCATCAACACACCATTTACACAGCAAAGTATTATATTAAGTGTAACAATAAATGAGTAGTGCAGAAAAAAGCAGCTATTAGGAAAAGGCTATGTACCACTGAAAAGGAGGTGGTGGCGGGGAGCAAAGGAGTTTCTTCTTTTTCTTTTTTAATTACTAAGTAGAACTAGGTCATCAAACAATACACATGTCTAAAAGGATCAGAAAATGAATATTGAAATTCAAGTGACCTAGAACATCCTATTACTAGAAATATAAAAATGGTTGCTTTCAATGAAAAATATCCAATAATCAAGCAGAGATATTTGTAGGGTTTTTTTGTGTGTGCGAAGGGAACAAGCAATACAATTAAAGTCATTCAAAGATAGATAAATTGGCAGCCACTGCTTTTCTGGACAGGGCAACTTTCTTATCTTTAGCAGGGAAAACTGGCCAAGTCAAATTGTGACTTGAAGCCTTATAATAAATTTTAAAGTGTCAAAGGGCAGTTAAGATGGTACTGAGGGATGAAAGCAAAGTCACGCAAAGCAGAACAATGAGACAGAAGAACTTAGGAAGGAAACCTTGAAATATGGCTTTCTGCTATGAGAATATTGATCAAGAAATGTCCACACATATGAAGACAGCTTTTTGCACAAATGAGCCATACCAATTCACTCGGTCATTTTGGGAGGACATAAGTCATCATTAGTCATAACGATTCTGAAAACTGCTTTCACACTACCTTATTAAGGCCTGTATTTCCCATCTAAAGGAAGTGTTGGGCTTTCACACTGATAGGACTATAAACTTAGCAGAAATTCTTCTCACTATAAAACCCACGCGAGCTATTGAAGAATTCTCCGGGTCATACATTTGTTCTCAGTGACTGAGTGGAAATACTAATTATATTGCAAAATGGCTGTTCCTAAATTATTTTAGCCTTTAAAAAAATCCAAGGCCTTCCTGAACTGGGCTCAGACACAGACAAACTGCCCCCACCTCTTCCCTCCTCAGCGAGTGTTCTAGAGGGGGCCAAACGAAGACGCGTGTGATTAGAAACCTAGGCCATCAATGTGCACAAGTTTGGGTGACCGAGTCTGCAGGTGGCAGCTCCGGGTTGTGGTGGACAAGCTTTATGCCAAGGATATTAAGGACAGAAACAGACCAAGGCTTCGAACGCGCCCATCCCCACATACGGGGATCGCCTGTCACATCACATCAACCTTGCTTGTCTCAGAGGGAAGACTATTGAAAACTTAAAAGGGAAAAGAGCTAAGGGATGAAGACGTTTCACCAAAGGGGGTCCCTGAATCTCGGTGACGGGGGATGGGCACCAGGCTAGGTCTCCGCGAGTCCGTGAACCCGTGCATGTACGTACTGCTTAGGAGCTGATTCACAGCTTGACTAAGGCTCCGTGGAGCCCCCAAAAGTTAAATGATGCTGATTCAAGAAGAAAACGCACCAGTGGCACTGTGTCTGGCTTCGGCAGCCTCCCCAGGTGCAGGAGATCAAGCTTTCCAGTTCCAATCCTCCCACGAGCTCCTTGCTTAGAGTCAAAGATGCCCTCTCTTCTAGGAACGGATTAACAGGGCAGAGGGAAAACGAGAGAAAGAAATGTAGAGATGCCTCCCGCGGAAAGAGACGCAACTTCCAGACCCGCTCCAGTTCTCCACTTGGGCGGGAAGCTTTGCGCTACCAGCTGGAAGACGCGTCCCGAGCGCTCGCGGCGCCCTTCCAGCAAGATCCCAGCAACCAGCGCTTCAGGGTGGGGGCGGGGGGACGCTGACCTGCTCCCACCTGCTTGCTCCTATAAGGATCCTAGCTCAGATTAAAGGAATGAAGAGCTAAGGTCGGCTTGTCCAGAAAAGAGCTCACGGCGAGTTCACCACCCCCTATATCAATTCATCGAGTGGCCTCCTCCGCATCAGCAGAGCACCCCGGGGATTCTGATTGTCAGTCACGAACCCCGAAACTGGAAGCAGCCGCTGCCTCTCTCCAGCCACACATCCATACTTCGGAGCGCCGCTTCCAACTTCAGGTTGCACGCCGACCTCAGCACAGGCAGTCGCCCCAGCACCCCAGAGAGCAGGGATGAGGGGAGCTGCACCGAGCTGAGTTAAGTCGGTACCAGCCCGAGAGGCAGCGGCTGCCCACGAGACAGCACCTAAATACAGGGTCCAAATCCACCCCCACCCCATCCTCTCGCGCCTCCTTATCCCTTCCAACCCTTCTTACTCGACTAGAGCCGGCATCCAAGTCGGACCGGCGAGCCCGGAACTAGGCACCGATCGCCGCACCGGAGCCAGAGGACGCTCACCGTGCCGCCTCCCTGAGGGCGCCCCGAGAGCGGCCCATCACCTCTGCAGTCTCGCCAGAAGAAGGAAAGTTCCCACGTCTCTACCAAGAGAAGCCCGAAGCTCCTGCGGGAGAAACCCGAAGCTGCTGCTGGAGAAGCAGCGTCTGCGGAGAGGCGGCTGAGGCTGGACTCCCGATGTTCGCCCGCAGCCGCGCGTGCAGTCGGTGCGCCCCGTCCAGGTCGGCGCGCAGCTAGCAGTGCGGGGCCAAGCACAGCTAGCGCGCTGGTCAGGAGGGGCCGGGCCGCCGCGGAACGCGCTGATTGGCCCAGCCGACCGGCTGCTCCTGCCCCTGCCTGGCCCCGCGGTCCACGTGGGCCGGCCCTCTCCCCGCCCCGCACCCCTGCTCCGCGGGCGCGCCCCACCTGCCGGCCTCCGGGAGCCTCTCCCGAGCGCCTCGCTGTGGCCACCACTCCGCAGGTGCTGAGCAAAAGGTAGTCTTTCTGAATACCTGAGGGTCGCGTTGAGCTCCGCATAAACGCCTAAATCTCTAAAAGGGATTTAGGGTTCGGCTCTCAATCGAAACCATTCCGCACGCAGGACCCAAAGCAGTTTGCAAGGAGGATTTCTTAGCCACCTTGTGCCGTAGCACATTCATGAACTAATCTGGCTTCGCGTGTAATGTGCTTGTAAAAGAGAGGAGAAAACCCGGCCCACATATCAATACCTGAATACTTTTATTTTTAAATGTATAAAATACAGCTAAGACTTCTGTGACCCCCTCCTCCAGCCCCATCCCCAGTCATGCCCTCCGCTCTTCCGCAAGTGAAGTAACTGATAATCAGTGACACTCGGTGGTATTCATTTTAGTGGGATTACTTCATCTGATCTCCATTTTATAGATGAGAAAATGGAAGCACAGAGAAGTTAAATCGTTTACTGAAGATTACACAGGTAACCAGTAAATCCGTGCTCGTTAGTATTCAAAGCATGGCTCCGTAGAGCCGTCCCTTGAGAACACATTAGAACTGCAGACTTTCAGGCCCCACCCAAGAACCAGAATCTTCATTTCAATAAGATCCCCAAGTGGCTGGTACATGCATAAAGTTAGAACGCGTTGCTCTGTACCACTATGCTGCTCACTGTCATTGGCTTGGCTTATCATCTTCTGGTCCTTTTACTCTGCATTGACATACAATTATGTGCCATCCTGCCCCCACTGCACTCCAAACTATATTCGCCTTTCTCTTAGTCTACCCCTTAAACTAACCTATGGCAGGCTTTCTGCTTCTGTTCCCCGTACCACACATACCGTACACATAGCACATTTTATTTGTAAAACAGTTTCAATCTCTTACTCTCTTATTATTAAAATGAGGGTTCTACATTCAAAGGCAATCTGTTATCAAGATGTCACCAGTTTAAGAGAATTCAAGGTTTGGAGATAGGGGCTTGATCTTTGAGATTTCCTTTAAAGACTAGCATTGAAATTCTGTGACGGTTAAGGGGAGATCCAAGCAACACCTGAAACAGCATGCCAGGATTCTCCAGAGCTCTTTCTCAACAACATTCATTCATTCATTCACTCAGCAAAACTGAGGGCCTACTCTGTGTCAGGCACTGTAACAAGTGCTGGTACAGACAGAAGGAAACACAACAGTGAAAGTTCCTGAGTTCATGGAACTTACCTTCTAGTAGGGAGAGATGGGCAATTAACATGACAAGTAAGTGAATTACAGAGTTTGGTAGAAGGTGGTCAGTGTTATAGAGAGAAAGAAAGTAAGAGAAAAGAAGGTGAGTACTGGGGAGATGGTGGTTTTAAGAATAGTAGTCAGGCTAGTTCCCACCAAGAAGGTAGTATCTGAACCAAGACTTGGAAGAAGTGAGGGAGCAAGTCATTTAGAAGAACAAGTCCACATTCGTTCATTTACCAAATATTTGTTACTTCCATACTGTGTGACAAACACGGTTCTGGCAAAGATCTGTGTGTTTACTTAAGCCCTGTTTTTCATATCTGCAATTTTCCTGCACTGGGGGTTTCTTGTCCTGGCGAGGAAAAACAAAAACATAAGTAACTGTGTTTGGCTCAACCTAATACCATGTTCTTCCCTCCTGGATGTTCAGTATTGTTAGGGATTCAACTTTGTCTCCTTAAAATTTATATGTTTAAGTCTTAACCCCCAGTACCACAGATTGTGACATTATTTGGAGATACAGCCTTTATAGAATTAAATTAAATGAAGTATTTAGAATGAACCCGAATCCAGTATGACTGTGTCCTTATAAAAAGGGGAAATTCGGAGACAGACATGCACACAGGAAGAACGCCACGTAAAAATCAGGGCAGAGATGGAGTGATACTTCCACAAGCTAAGGAATGCCAAAGATTGCCAGCAAACTACCTAGGGAGAAGAGAGGCATGGAACAAATTCTTTGCAGCCCTCAGAAGGAACCAACCCTGAGCCAACACCTTAACCTTGGACTTCTAGCCTCCAGAACTGTAAGACAAGAAATTTCTGTTGTTTAAGCCACTTAGTTTGTGGTGTTTGTATGGCAGCCCTAATAAATTCATACAAGCATAAAAGTGTTTGTTTCAAAAGCAAGATAGTACAGTTAAGGGACTCATCTTTAAGTTTCCAATGACCTGATGTCTCTTGTGCAGTAGCAAGAAGCCAGAATGATCTGATGAATTGAGATTTACTAACCAAATCACCACAAAAAAAAGGCAAGCTATATTATTAAAAAAAAAAAAAAAAAGCCACTGAGCCCCAATTATCCAATTGTTTCCTCATCCAGCTATTTATCAAGTGCCCGCTGTGAGCCAGGCTCTAGGATATGGTGACAAACAAGGCACATGTGATTTGTGTGTATTCTTGTGGGGGAGGTTGGACAGTAAATAATTCAACAAATATATGAATAAGGTAATTTCAGAGCAGAATAAGTGCTAAAAGAAAACAGAAGAAGGCTAGAGCATTAGAAGGATATGAGGATGGGTTTAATTTAGATTGGCTGCCTAGGGAAGGTCCCTATGAGGTAGTGACATTTGAGTCAAGACCTAACTGACAAAAAGCCATCCAAGCAAATATCTGGGCAAAAATTGTTCCAGGCAGAGATAGCAGTTCCTCTTATAAGAAAATATCCCTGTCATTCATTCGGTAACATTCTTTCTCTCTCTCTTTGTGACCCATTTTGCATCCTTTAAGGTTGTATAAAATCAATCAACATCTGTTTCCTAAAAATGGGGTCAAATTTTTTATTTTCTTATGTAAGAACCTGTGAAGGTCACGCCAGCAGTGTTTTGCACACACCACACATTCACAAAACACCCCTTGACGTGCCTCTGTATTTGTAGGTAGTGACACCACGTGACTTGGACATTGTGTTTACTTTCCTCATTTGTATAACATCCAGAACACTACTGGCATGTCCTGGTGCTTAATCAATACGTGCTGATGACTGGCTATGCCTGAAAGGAACATTCTGACTCTCCTGGGCCTGTTTATAAAATCCTCTTGTTTCCAGCGAAGCTTTAACATTTTGCAGCACAATTTTGCACTTTGTAATTTTTCTGAGGAGAGTAATAAGAATGATAGCTAACTTAATCGGAGGCTTGTGTGTGGCTCACTATGCTAAGTACTTCTTTATAATCTTTATCATCTTTATAATCCATGTAAATATAAGTAAAGGTAAATACAAGGTAAATTCTCTTATTATAATCTCTGTGTTACAAATGAGAAAACTGGTGCTCAAAAAAGACTAATATGCCCATGGTTGAAACCACCTTTAAATGGCCGACTTATGCCTTGAAACAGTCTCGCTTACTGTCAGCTCTGTGCTTGAGTGGTTGAACAGTGAAACAAGTGAAGAAAGAAAAGAAAAAGCAAAAAGCATCTGTCTGGGTACACATGGACATACTATGTAGAATCATAGGCACTGAAGACTACAAAATGTGGGAGGATGGGAGCAGGGTGAGAGCTAAAAAATCCCCTGTTGGGTACAGTCTTCACTATTCAAGTGATGGGTACACGACAAGCCCAGACTTCACCACCATGCAACATGTCCACGTAAGAAACCTGCGCTTGTGCCTCCTAAATATATAAAATACGTTTAAATGTTTTTTTAAAGCATCTGTCTCTTCCTTTACATTCACCTTTGAAATTTTCAAAGCAGTGTTTTCTAACTTTTTTTATTTACCCCAGCCTTCTAGCTTTCAAGTACACTTTTCTAGCCGGATATTTGCTTTGTTTTCCCTTGCTTCAAACTAGGAACTGCAGGGACTTTATAAATGAAACAACTGATATATATAATTTTTTTCGTTTTGTTTTCAGCCTGTCTGTTCTTCAACACCTCTAAGGAAATGTAAGTCAAGCTTCTTAGAGCTCAGCCTACTTTGACAGACATCCTATCTCATACACTGACAGTGCCGCAACACTAAGGGGTTCCGCCCCTTATTCAAATAGTAAAGAATATCACATCCCTTGCCAGACCAAATGCTATACGCAATTTCGCAATGCCAGCTCTGGCCCTCTTTACACAGATACTAATAGATCCTTCTGCCTGAGAGTGAACATCTAAAAATGGCTTCAGCCAGTCTTTGTGAATAACTTTCTATTCTCGTGGCTTCCCCACAGTCCTGGTCAGGGAAAAAGGCCGGAAAACTTGCAACAGTGAAAAGATGTGAGGCTTCTCTCATTGCATCCTGGATTCCTCCACCTTGCTCAGGAAGTGGGTAGCCATTTTAGCCGTTAAATGACTTCCTGCCTTGGATGGCTTGGTCAGACTTGTTTTAGACTTCTGGAACTCAGACAAGGTGTCTGGATATTTGCTTTGGAAGGCTCAGGTGGGTTTCACTATCCTTCTCTTTGCTGACCACAACTGCTTCAATAATTTATGCCCTGGTAAAGATCAGCACTTCAGGGCAAATTAGCATAAGAAGGATTTATGAAACCACAGTGGGAGGGCACTTTTAGAAATCATACAAGAGCTGTTGCACAGAGCAATACAAGCTAGGTTCCAAGCAGGATCAACCCCAGATAGAATCATCAAAGAAATAATGCTCCTTTTGGTACCCTCTCTTCTGTCCATCCCTTCCACTCCAGCATCTCCCAATATGATCATATAGCACTCAGCTATACAGAAGGCTGGTGATGTCATTCATTAATTCATT